AAAAAAAAAAAAAAAAATGGAATTTGGGACCGGCAGCACCTGAAAAAGATCCTGGGAATCGTCAAAGGTTTAAGCCGGGTTTWATCTGAGGGAAAGGTTTGAATTTGTGTCATTGGTTCTGTGGGAATGGAGCTGTTGGTGCTCTGGGGATGCTCCCGGGATCCCCTCGCTGCTCCCGCTGTGGGATCGGGGGAAGGAGCGCCCCAAACCCGCGGGGGAAGGGTCTGGTGCTTCCCGGTGTGGAAATCTGCGGGGCGGAGGGCAGTGGGCAGTGCCAGACAGGGCGGTGGGCAGTGGGCAGTGGGCAGTGCCAGGCCATTGGACAGTGCCAGGATGGGCAGTTGGCACTGCCAGACCCGGGTGTTGAGCAGTGGTCAGTGCCAGACTGTTGGGCAGTCCAGGCAGTGGGCAGTGCCAGGCCATTGGGCAGTGTCAGGCCAGACAATGAGCAGTGGGCAGTGCCAGACCAGGCAGTGGACAGTGCCAGGCTGGGCGGTGGGCAGTGCCAGTCCGGGCAGTGGGCAGTGGGCAGTGCCAGGCCATTGGACAGTGCCAGGGTGGGCAGTGGTCAGTGCCAGGCCAGGCAGTGGGCAGTACCAGGCTGTTGGGCAGTGCCAGACCAGGTGGTGGGTGGTGGGCAGTGCCAGGCCGGGTGTTGGGCAGGGCCAGGCCGGGCAGTGGGCAGTGCCAGGCTGTTGGTCAGTGCCAGGCCATTGGGCAGTGGGCAGTGCCAGGCTGGATGGTGGGCAGTGGGCAGTGGTCAGTGGGCAGTGCCAGACCAGGCAGTGAGCAGTGGTCAGTGCCAGACTGTTGGGCAGTCCAGGCGGTGGGCAGTGCCAGGCCATTGGGCAGTGGGTGGTGGGCAGTGTCAGGCTGGGCAGTGGGCAGTGGTCAGTGTCAGGCCAGGTGTTGGACAGTGCCAGTCTGGGTGGTGGGCAGTGGTCCATGCCAGGCCGGGCAGTGGACAGTGTCAGGCCGGACGGTGGGCAGTGGACAGTGCCAGGCTGTTGGGCAGTGGACAGTGTCAGGCCGGACGGTGGGCAGTGGACAGTGCCAGACTGGGCAGTGGGCAGTGCCACGCTGGGCATTGGGCAGTGCCAGGCCAGGCATTGGGCAGTGGGCAGTGCCAGTCCGAGTGTTGGGCAGTGCCAGGATGGGCAGTGGTCAGTGCCAGGGTGGACAGTGGGCAGTGCTAGGCCGGGCGGTGGGCAGTGCCAGTCCAGGTGGTGGGCAGTGGTCCATGCCAGGACGGGCAGTGGTCAGTGGGCAGTGCTAGGCCGGGCGGTGGGCAGTGCCAGTCCAGGTGGTGGGCAGTGGTCCATGCCAGGACGGGCAGTGGTCAGTGGGCAGTGCCAGGCCGTTGGGCAGTGCCAGACCAGGTGGTGGGTGGTGGGCAGTGCTAGTCTGGGTGGTGGTCAGTGCCTGGCTGGGCAGTGAGCAGTGCCAGGCCGGTCAGTGGACAGTGCCAGGCCATTGGGCAGTGCCAGGCCGGGTGGTGGGCAGTGCCAGGCTGTTGGTCAGTACCAGGCCATTGGGCAGTGGTCAGTGCCAGGCCGGGTGTTGGGCAATGGGCAGTGCCAGTCCGGGCAGTGGGCAGAGCCAGGCTGGGCGGTGGGCAATGGGCAGTGCCAGGCCGTTGGGCAGTGCCAGACCAGGTGGTGGGCAGTGGGCAGTGCCAGGCTGTTGGTCAGTGCCAGGACAGGCAGTGGGCAGTGCCAGTCTGGGCAGTGGGCAGTGCTAGGCTGGGTGGTGGGCAGTAGTCAGTGTCAGGCCATTGGTCAGTGCCAGGACAGGCAGTGGTCAGTGGGCAGTGCCAGGCCAGGTGGTGGTCAGTGGTCAGTGCCAGGCCGGGCAGTGGGCAGCGCCAGGCTGTTGGTCAGTGCCAGGACGGGCAGTGGTCAGTGGTCAGTGCCAGGCCGGATGGTGGGCAGTGCCAGGCTGTTGGTCAGTGCCAGGCCATTGGTCAGTGGTCAGTGCCAGGCCGGGGTGCAGCCCGGAGCTGGGGGGCGCTGCCAGCGGGGGTGAATCGTTCCCAGCTCTCCCCGTCCCCATTTCCGTGTGTTTGTCGAGCGGGGTTGTGAAAATCCCCGCTCCTTCCTCATTCCCGAGCTCCGGCCGAGCGGCTCCAGAGCCGTTCGTTCCCAGGGGAAACCCGACCCGGCTCTGATCCCAAAAAATCCTTCGAGGAGCGCTGGGGATGCGACTGCCCCCTCCCCATTCCCATTCCCATTCCCATTCCCATTCCCATTCCCATTCCCATTCCCATTCCCATTCCCATTCCCATTCCCATTCCCATTCCCATTCCTGGAGGGTGGAGGACGGGATGAGCAAACCGATCCCCGAGGGATTTTTTAGGGTCACTCAGGCTCACCCTCACAGCCCCCCATTCCCATTCCCTTCCCGGCTTTTGAAGAATGGGATCAGCAAACCGACCCCACAGGTTTCTTTTAGGGGTGCTCAGCCTCACCCTCACCCTCACAGCCCCCTCATTCCCATTCCTGGCTGGTGAAGGATGGGATCAGCAAACCGATCCCAGAGGGATTTTTTAGGGTCACTCAGGCTCACCCTCACAGCCCCCCATTCTCTTTCCCATTCCCAGCGGGATGGGATCAGCAAACAATCCGCACAGGAATTTTTTAGGGGTTCTTGGCAGTGCCTTCACAGCTGCCCCTTTCC